AAGAGGTAACTATCCTAAACATATATGCACCCAATACAGAAGCACCCAGATTCATAAATCAAGTTCTTAGAGACCTACAAAGAGACTTAGACTCCTACACAATAATAGTGGGAGATTTTAACACCCCACTGTCAATATTAGACAGATCAATGAGACAGAAAATTAACAAGGATATTCAGGACTTGAACTCAGCTCTGGTCCAAGTGGACTTAATACACATCTACAGAACTCTCCATCTCAAATCAACACAATATACATTCTTCTCAGCACCACATGGCACTTATTCTAAAATTGACCACATAATTGAAAATAAAACACTCCTCAGCAAATGCAAGAGAATGGAAATCATAATAAACAGTCTCTCAGACCACAGTGCAATCAAATTAGAACTCAGGAATAAGAAACTCACTCAAAACTGCACAACTGCATGGAAACTGAACAACCTGCTCCTGAATGACTACTGGGTAAATAACGAAATTAAGGCAGAAATAAATAAGTTCTTTGAAACCAATAAGAACAAAGACACAACATACCAGAATCTCTGGGACACAGTTAAAGCACTGTTTAGGGAGAAATTTATAGCACTAAATGCCCAAAGGAGAAAGCAGGAAAGATCTAGAATGGACACCCTAACATCACAATTAAAAGAACTAGAGAAGCGAGAGCAAACAAATTCAAAAGCTAGCAGAAGACAACAGATAACTAAGATCAGAGCAGAACTGAAGGAGTTACAGACACCAAAAAATCCTTCAAAGAAATCAATGAATCAAGGAGCTGGTTTCTGAAAAGATCAACGAAATAGACCACTATCCAGATGAATAAAGAAGAAAAGAGAGAAGAATCAAATAGACACAATAAAAAAATTATAAAGGCAACAACACCACTGATCCCACAGAAATATAAACTACCCTCAGAGAATATTATAAACACCTCTACACAAATAAACTAGAAAATCTAGAATAAATGGGTAAATTCCTGGACACGTACACCCTCCCAAGACTAAACCAGGAAGAAGTCGAATCCCTGAATAGGCCAATAACAAGTTCTGAAATTGAGGCAGTAATTAGTAGCCTACCAACCAAAAAAAAGCCCAGGACCATATGGATTCACAGCCGAATTCTACCAGAGGTACAAAGAGGAGCTGGTACCATTCCAAACAATAGAAACAATAGAAAAAGAGGAACTTGATTCCAGTATCATCCTGATACCAAAACCTGGCAGAGACACAACAAAAAAAGAATATTTCAGGCCAATATTCCTGATGAACATTAATGTGAACATCCTCAATAAAATACTGGCAAACCAAATCCAGCAGCACATCAAAAAGCTTATCCACCACCATCAAGTCAGCTTCATCCCTAGGATGCAAGGCTGGTTCAATATATGCAAATCAATAAACACAATCCATCACATAAACAGAACCAATGACAAAAACCACATAATTATCTCAATAGATGCAGAAAAGGCCTTCGATAAAATTCAACACCCCTTCATGCTAAAAACTCTCAATAAACTAGGTATTGATGGAATGTATCTCAAAATAATAAGAGCTATTTATGACGAACCCACAGTCAATATCATATTGAATGGGCAAAAGCTGGAGGCATTCCCTTTGAAAACTGGCACAAGACAAGGATGCCTTCTCTCATCAGTCCTGTTCAACATAGTATTGGAAGTTCTGGCCAGGGCAATCAAGCAAGAGAAAGAAATAGATGGTATTCAAATAGGAAGAGAGAGAGTCAAATTGTCTCTGTTTGCAGATGACATGATTGTATATTTAGAAAACCTCATCGTCGGCCGGGCGCGGTGGCTCAAGCCTGTAATCCCAGCACTTTGGGAGGCCGAGACGGGCGGATCACGAGGTCAGGAGATCGAGACCATCCTGGCTAACACGGTGAAACCCCGTCTCTACTAAAAAATACAAAAAACTAGCCGGGCGAGGTGGCGGGCGCCTGTAGTCCCAGCTACTCGGGAGGCTGAGGCAGAAGAATGGCGTAAACCCGGGAGGCGGAGCTTGCAGTGAGCCGAGATCGCGCCACTGCACTCCAGCCTGGGTGACAGAGCCAGACTCCGTCTCAAAAAAAAAAGAAAACCTCATCGTCTCAGCCCAAAATCTCCTTAAGCTGATAAGCAATTTCAGCAAAGTCTCAGGATACAAAATGTGCAAAAATCACAAGCATTCCTATACAGCAATAATAGACATACAGAGAGCCAAATCATGACTGAACTCCCATTCACAATTGCTACAAAGAGAATAAAATACTAGGAATACAACTTACAAGGGATGTGAAGGACCTCTTCAAGGAGAACTACAAACCACTGCTCAAGGAAATAAGAGAGGACACAAACAAATGGAAAAACATTCCATGCTCATGGACAGGAAGAATCAATATCCTGAAAATGGCCATACTGCCCTAAGTAATTTATAGATTCAATGCTGTCTCCATCAAGCTACCATTGACTTTCTTCACGGAATTGGAAAAACTACTTTAAATTTCATATGGAACCAAAATGGAGTTTGTATAGCCAAGACAATCCTAAGCAAAAAGAACGAAGCTGGAGGCATCATGCTACCTGACTTTAAACTATACTACGATGCTACAATAACCAAAACAACGTGGTACTGGTACCAAAACAGATATATAGACCAATGGAACAGAACAGAGGCCTCAGAAATAACGCCACACATCTACAACCATCTGATCTTTGACAAACCTGACAAAAACAAGGAATGGGGAAAGGATTCCCTATTTAATAAATGGTGTTGGGAAAACTGGCTACCATATGCAGAAAACTGAAATCGGACCCCTTCCTTACACCTTATACAAAAATTAACTCAAGATGGATTAAAGACTTAAACATAAGACCTAAAACCATAAAAACCCTAGAAGAAAACCTAGGCAATACCATTAAGGACATACTCATGGGCAAAGACTTCATGACTAAAACACCAAAAGCAATGGCAACAAAAGCAAAAATTGACACATGGGATCTAATTAAAACAAAGAACTTCTGCACAGCAAAAGAAACTACCATCAGAGTGAACAGGCAACCTACAGAATGGGAGAAAATTTTTGCAATCTATCCATCTGATAAAAGGCTAATTATCCAGAATCTACAAGGAACTTAAATTTACAAGAAAAAAACAACCCCATCAAAAAGTGGGCAAAACACTTCTCAAAATAAGACATTTATGCAGCCAACAAACATATGAAAAAAAGTTCTTCATCACTGGTCATTAGAGAAATGCAAATCAAAACCACAATGAGATACCATCTCACGCCAGTTAGAATCGCAATCATTAAAAAGTCAGGAAACAACAGGTGCTGGAGAGGATGTGAAGAAATAGGAACACTTTTATACTGTTGGTGGGAGTGTGAATTAGTTCAACCATTATGGAAGACAGTGTGGCGATTCCTCAAGGATCTAGAACCAGAAATACCATTTGACCCAGCAATCCTATTACTGAGTATATACCCAAAGGATTAGAAATCATTCTACTATAAAGACACATGCACATGTATGTTTATTGCAGCACTGTTCACAATAGCAAAGACTTAGAACCAACCCAAATGCCCATCAATGATAGACTGGATAAAGAAAATGTGGCACATATACACCGTGGAATACTATGCAGTCATAAAAAAGGATGAGTTCATGTCCTTTGCAGGAACATGGATGAAGCTAGAAATCATCATTCTCAGCAAACTAACACAAGAACAGAAAACCAAACACCACATGTTCTCACTCATAAGTGGGAGTTGAACAATGAGAACACATGGACACAGGGAGGGGAACATCACACACTGGGGCCTATCTGGGGGTGGGGGGCTAGGGGAGAGATAGCATTAGGAGAAATACCTAATGTAGATGACGGGTTGATGGATGCAGCAAACCACCATGGCACGTGTATACCTATGTAACAAACCTGCACATTCTGCACATGTATCCCAGAACTTAAAGTATAATTTAAAAAATAAAAATAAATAAAATAATTAGAACAAAGTCCAGTAGTATAGAGGATTAGGTAATAATCAATAGGAACAGACAAATCTAATGTTGAAATAGAATAATAGATCCAGAAATTAATTCCAAAGTCCTACCTATGGTTCTTTAATGTGTGTGTCCTTGATATTAGCTTGCAATTAGCTCCATCAAGTGATAGTATCCAACGTATAATGGGCTTAGCAATTTCTTGCTTCTCTTGCTGCTTCTATATCTCTCTTCTTTCACAGTCTTGGAGTCCCCAACAACAGGGCAGAGGCTGAAGGGCACAGATCTTTTGTGTCGTATGGCTTGGCCTCCACTGAAGTAGGTGAGGGTGACCGTCCCTGGTATGGCAAGACAGGTCTGGGCAGGCCACAGTCTGGCTCTCCTGCCTGGCTTCCTGGGAATAATTGAGCAATTGCTCTATACCAGGCAGGGTTCTGAATGCTTCCGCATCCCAATTTCGATCACTTCTGCAAGGTGACGCAGCTAGGAAAGATGTGACTCGGGCCACTCTGGCCTCCAGGACTCCTCTTCTGACCTCTCCTCAGTCGCTGTATTAGCCGGGCCGCCCTTCCCATGTTGACCTCCTCCCATATTTGCGTGTTGGCCTCACGGGCAGCGTCATGAAGCTGCCACCATGCCTGCCCCCCTTTGGTTCAGGCCACAGGGATGCCTAGAGCTGGGAGCGGCCCTGCATAGCACTGCCTGCGGAGTCTTCAGTGCGTGTGCGTTTCTGTCTCCTTTACTGAACTGTGAGCGCCTCAGGCGGGGCCTTCCATCTGCCAGTTTATCCCTGGAATGTATCTCAGTGCTTGGCAGAGGATAAGCATTACATGTTGGATACATTAATTGATCCTAAGATTCTAAGCACTAAATTTTACGAGAAGTAGCAAAAATGACCTGAATATAGTCGCACTGTATCTGTTCAATGATCCAGACAGCTGACTCCCTGGGCTTACGCCTTCATAACGCTGGAACCCCCTCCCGCTTTGTTCCTCTCCCTCTTGCAGCCGATGGGATCAGAGCGGATGGAGATGCGGAAGCGGCAGATGCCCCTCGCCCAGGACGCACCAGGCGCCGCCCCAGGCCAGCCAGGAGCGGGGAGTCGCGGGTCCAACGCATGCTGCTTCTGCTGGTGCTGCTGTTGTAGCTGCTCATGGTAAGGTTTCAGACTTTTTAATTAATGTGCCCCTGACTGGGAAGTGTAATGTGCTCCTGACTGGGAAGTGGCACCTGTGAATAGTGGTGGTAGCTTACGGTTAATTCAGTAAGTGTTTTTTAAGCAGCTACTATATGCCTGACACAGAGGGACACCCCAGAAATAACAACAGGCTACATCTGACTACCTCTTAAGGGGCTTATGCTCAGATCCCTCAAATCAGGCCACCGTGTGTTAAACAACTAAAGAACAACCTCCGGCGGTTCACGATTGACTATCAACATTTGGGCAGAAATGGTTAGAAAGAATTGAACTAGGGGCTCTCCTGGGGTAATGAAGGCTTAGGATCTAAGATGGGTCTTAAAGGTTAAGACGATGAAGTAAAGGGAGCCTGGATTTTACCTTCTGCTGCTTCCATTTCATAAATTTTGTTTTGTAATAAAGAGAAATGTCAAAATATGTGTTTCAAATAGAGACAAATATTAAAATATATGCTAACTTACTGGGTAGAGAAAGACACACAGACAGTCATTGCTTTAAAAACGATGTAAAACATCCGTGACCCTTTGAGTAGCTGTTAAAGGTCTGGAGAAAAGGGATAATTTACACCTAAAAATCATGGGAACTTTAAGTTACATCTTTGGAATCTTGGATATGAAAAGTGCTTAGTGCCAGCCAAATCTGTGAACCATTTTCGGCAATCAAATCATCCTAAATTTATGTAGGCTTGGCAATAAGTTAGACCAAGACCTCACTGTCCTGTGGAAAAGAAGAAAAACTGATATTGGACTGATCACGGACCGCGAAATGGAACTAACAGAACTGATCCCCGGGAAGGAGATTGGAGGCTGAAAATGAAATGCCCGGGGAAGTTTGGTGGCTCCTGCCCAACTCAGGCTACTATTCATTTCCAAGAAGTTCCAATCTGGTGGAAGGGACACAGCAGTAGAACATCCACCAGGGGGATCCCGATACTGATGGTCTTTTCATTCCCACAGCAAGAGGAAACATGTGGCTGGGGCTGACAGCTAGGCAGTGTCAAGGTGAGACTTCAGCCCTGGTAGGACTCTGGACAGCTCTGCAGGAAGCCAGAGGAGAGGCGCTGGTGGTAGGCAGAGGAGATGCGTGGGTGTCCAGGGCCTGCCCTAGAGGAGGAAGACACTAGTGGTGGCCAGACTGCGTTTAGGGGCCTATATTCTCAATCTGCCAGTAGGTCTCAGTGCAGAAACGAGACAATCCTCCTAGAGATGTGCAGGATGTCCGAGTGCAGGTGAGACTCCAGCTGATGTTCAAACCTTCCCCTCCTTCCTTTCTCTGCTGCCTCGTGCGCAGGGTGTGGGAGGCGGCTGACATGCTGACCTGAACAGCATATTGTCCCGGGATAGTGTAAGGCTAGAGGGCGGGGCATGTCCCAGAGCAGGCTCCTCCTACAGGTAACAAGTAGGACAAATAAAATAATCTGTACCTAGACACTATCATCACCACCATAGCCAACACTTCTGTAGCACTTAGGTGTGTGTAGAAGAGACAATAGAGCAATGTCTTCAAAGTGCTGGAGAAAAGTAACTGAAAACTAAGTCAAACCATAATTCAAGAGTGTGGGTAAAATAAGACATTCTCAGACATACGAAGGCCAACCAAGTTTACTGCCTGCAAACCTAAAAGAACTGAAGAAAGGGCCTAGTTCAGAGGGATAAAAGGGAACCCAGAGGAAAGACCCAGGAAACAAGTAACAGTTGTAGCTACAACGGGGTCAAATATTGATATAAAATGTGGCACTGAATTTTGTGTTAAAAAAGTGTGAAACCAAAGCTGTAAACAGTCTCATGTCAATGACAGAGAAATCAAATAATTCAGACTTTCTTAGAAAAAATTGTTATAAGAAAATTTTCTTTCAAAAGCAATGTTATTCATAATTAGTCCAAAAATACACCCTATCGTTTTAACATCAGTGAAAGACAATAAATCTAGAAAACCTTACCAACACGTGACAAAAGTGGCATCAGCAAAGGAGAAAATGAACTATTCAGTAAATAGCAGGATACTTGGTGTTTGGGTACCAACTCATCCCCACTGATAGGATTTTCTCAGTTTTAGCACTGAAAAGTCCCACAGCCCAGAAAACCTGAAAACGCTAGGCAAACCAGGAAAATTGGTCATCCTGCTTGGTATCCAAATATATAAAAATATATTTATATTCCTACATAGCACCATGTACAAAAATCAATTCCCACCTTTAAAAAAAGATCAGCTGGGTGCGGTGGCTCACGCCTGTAATCCCAGCACTTTGGGAGGCCGACGCAGGAGGATCACAAGGCAGGCCGATCAAGAGATCGAGACCACCCCGGACAACATGGTGAAACCCCGTTTCTACTAAAAATACAACAATTAGTCAGGCACGGTGGCAGGCACCTGTAATCCCAGCTACTCGGGAAGCTGAGGCAGGAGAATTACTTGAACCCAGTGGGCGGAGGTTGCAGTGAGCCAAGATTACGCCACTGCACTCCAGCCTGGGCAGCAGTGAGACTCCATCTCAAAAAAAAAAGAAAAAAAAAAGGGAATGAGTGACCCAGCACTTTGGGAAGCCGAGGTGGGCGGATCACCTGAGGTCAGGAGTTCAGGACCAGCCTGGTTAACATGGTGAAACCCCGTCTGTACTAAAAAAAAATACAAAAAATTAGCCAGGCATGGTGGTGCATGCTTGTAATCCCAGCTACTTGGGAAGCTGAGGTGGGAGAATCACTTGAACCCAGGAGATGGAGGCTGCAATGAGCTGAGATTGCACCATTGCACTCCAGCCTGGGCAATAAGAGCGAAACTCTGTATCGGAAAAAAAAAAAAAAAAAAAAGAATGAAGCCTTGACACCGCCAAAATATAGCATGAACTGTGAAAACATTATGCTAAGTGAAAGAAACTAGATATGAAAGACCACATATTTTATTATTCCACTTACATGAAACGTCCAGAATAGGTAAATTCAAAGAGACAGAAAGTAGATTAGCAGTTGCCTATGAGTAAGGAAGATGGAGTTACTGCTAATGTGTAGAGTTCTTTCTGGGGATGATGAAATGTTCCAACATCATGGCAATAGTTATACCACTCTGTAAATATACTAAAAGCCATGGAATTATACGGTTCAATTTGGCAACTTGTATAGTATGCAAATAATATCTTTTTTTTTTTTTTTTTTTTTTGCAGTGGAATCTTGCTCTGTCACCCAGGCTAGAGCGCAGTGGTGTGATCTCGGCTCACTGCAACTTAAGCCTCCCGGGTTCCAGCGATTCTCCTGCCTCAACCTCACAAGTAGCTGGGATTACAGGTGCACACCACCACGCCCAGCTAATTTTTGTATTTTTAGTAGAGATGGGGTTTCTCCATGTTGGCCAGACAGGTCTCGAACTCCTGACCCCAGGTGATCTGCCCGCCTCAGCCTTCCAAAGTGCTGGGATTACAGGTGTGAGCCATCAGGCCAGCCACATTATATCTTAATAAAGCTATTCTTAAAATATGTTTAACAAAAGATACTAAAAATAAAACGAAAAGATAAAACATACTCAGATAAGATAGTTACAGTGCAATTAACAAGTAATTCATATCTAGGATAAATAACATTAAAATACATTAATAAATAAGAACCAAAAGAGTCAGCAAATGAAATGGAACAGAAAATAATCTGCTTGTATTTCCTACCAACAAGGATCAGAAAAATGAAAGTTAAATATACACCCTTTTAAAACCTATACCCTGGCAGATCACCTGAGCCCAGGAGCTCGAGAACAGCCTGGGCAACATGGTGAAACACCGTCTTTACAAAAAGCACAAAAATTGGCTGGGCATGGTGGCTCACACCTGTAATCTCAGTACTTTGGGAGGCCAAGGCAGGTGGATCACCTGAGGTGGGGAATTGGAAACCAGCCTTACCAACATGGAGAACCTCATCTCTACTAAAAATACAAAATTAACCAGGCATGGTGGCACATGCCCATAATCCCAGCTACTCAGGAGGCTGAGGCAGAAGAATCGCTTGAACCTGGGAGGCAGAGGTTTCGGTGAGCCGAGATCGCACCATTGCGCTTCAGCCTAGGCAAACAAGAGCAAAACTCCATCTCAAAAAAATAAATAAATAAAACACAAAAATTAGCCAGGCATGGTGGCGCACACCTGTAGTCCCAGCTACTCAGGAGGCTGAGGTGGGAGGATCGCTGGAGCCCAGGGAGGTTGAGGCTGCAGTGAATTATATTGTGCCATTGCACTCCATTGTGTGTAAAAGAGTGAGACTCTGTCTGAAAAACAAAAAAAAGAAAAAAAGAAAGAAAAGGAAAACCTATACCCTGGAAAAACTTCTCAGACCCCTGCAATAAAAGGAGACATGTATGAGAGGATTCACTACAGCATTCATCTGAGTGAGAAAAATTGAAAATGGTTCTAAAGGGCATAGACAGGAGAATGGATGAATATACTGTGGTATAGTTATACAATCCACTACCATACAGCATTTAAATTCATATACTAGAAAAACAAAACTAAACAAATAAATAGGTTAGGCGTGGTGGCTCACGCCTCTAATCCCAGCACTTTGGGAGGCCAAGGCAGAAAGATTGCTTGAGCCCAGGAGTTCGAGACTAGCTGAGGCAACATAGCAAGACCATGTCTCCACTGAAAAAAAAAAAAAGTGAGCCAGGCATGGTGGCATGTGCCTGTAGTCCCAGCTACTCTAGAAGCTGAGGCGGAAGGATCACTTGAACCCAGTTCAAGGCTGCAGTGAGCTATGATCATGCTACTGCACTTCAGCCTGGGCAACAGAGTGAGACCTTGTCTCAGAAATAAATAAATTCATATGCTAGAGGGACAAAAAACAAATTACAAAGCAATATATGTTACATAATTACATTTATACTATGTTTAAAAATACATTTATGAATATAATATAGTAGCATCACTATGAATTGGAATGGTAAACAGTAAGTTAAAAATGGTGGCTCTCTCTAGGGTAAAGAGAGGAAGAAATGAGATGGGAAAAGTACAGAGCAAACTTCAACTGTTTAAGTAGTGAATTTCCTTTTTTTTTTTTTACCACACTTTTGAGATTTATCCATATTAATATACATAGTCAAGTCAATTTTCGAGAAAGGTAAATGGCAATTTGTTTTCTAAGTACTTGTGAATCTTTCTCAACATTTTGCTCTAAGGCCTTCCGGTATTTAGTGTTATAAGGGAAGGCATGCTGATTCTTGTTTTCTTGAATATAAAGTTTTTTTTCCTTTCTAGTAAGTTTTCTCTTTATCACTCAAAATTTTACCCAAATGTATCTGGCCGTGGGTCCTCTTTTACTGAAAATTCCTAAAACACAGCAAGCTACTATAGACATCATCTAGTTCTGCTGTAATAATAGCAGTGGACCAAGGTAAAGAAAACTTCACAAAAAAAAATTCTTCTCGTTTTCAAAAACACATTGTCCCTTTAAAACATTCTTTTTTTTTTTTTTTTTGAGACGGAGTCTCGCTCTGTCGCCCAGGCTGGAGTGCAGTGGCCAGATCTCAGCTCACTACAAGCTCCGCCTCCCGGGTTTTTACGCCATTCTCCTGCTTCAGCCTCCCGAGTAGCTGGGACTACAGGCGCCGCCACCTCGCCCGGCTAGTTTTTTGTATTTTTTTTTAGTAGAGACGGGGTTTCACCGGGTTAGCCAGGATGGTCTCGATCTCCTAACCTCGTGATCCGCCCGTCTCGGCCTCCCAAAGTGCTGGGATTACAGGCTTGAGCCACCGCGCCCGGCTTCTTTAAAACATTCTTACTTGAAATGAGGCAAAAAGTATATCAAAGCTTAAATAAGTTTGCATTATTTAGTTTGCAGTAGAGCTTCTGGTTCTCTGAGGACTCTCCTGTCAAACTCATCTCTTTTTTTTCTCTGTTTTTTCATACCCACTGAGCAGTAATGTGTTCTGCTTACAAAAGAAGCCTTGGAAGTCATGCAGACAGCGTACCACTCAGATGCCTCTCAAGTTTTTTTTGGTTGGATTTTTTTTTAAAGAAGCCATTATTTACTGAAACTTTTTAGCCCTGACATCATGAAAGAAGGAAGTCAAAAGGGTTCCTGCATTTCTAATGATTTTGCCTTTAAAGAAAAACAGAGCTACACACACACACGCACACACATACACACACTGAAAATTTATAAAACAGATGTGCTAAAAACAGACTGAAAAACTTTTATAAAATAAAGTGTTAAGAAAAGATATAATAAAGAATATAGAAAATACAGCAGCAACAAGATAAAGAAAATCCCAGTTGTCAGTGATAACATCCATTTTTAAGTTGATAGGATGCCAGGAGCATTCCTGCTAAAATCATAAATAAGGTGAAATGTCCACAATCTCTACTACTATTTAACAATGTATTTGGCCGGGTGTGATGGCTTACGCCTGTAATCCCAACACTTTGGGAGGCCGAGGTGGGCAGATCACAAGGTCAGGAATTCGAGACCAGCCTGACCAACATGGTGAAACCCCATCTCTACTAAAAATACAAAAATTAGCCGGGCGTGGTGGCGTGCACCTGTAATCCCAGCTACTCAGGAGGCTGAGGGAAGAGAATTGCTTGAACCCAGGAGGCGGAGGTTGTAGTGAGCTGAAATCACGCCACTGCACTCCAGCCTGGGCAACAGAGCAAGACCCTGTCTCAAAAAAAAAAAATGTATTTTAGGTGTTAGCTAATTAGACAAGAAAAACAATTAGAGGCCTGAGAATTGGAAATAAAAAGGTAAAATTCTTCCTGTTTGCAGATGAAATCCCAAGAGAATTATAGCTGTAACTGATACAAATACAGAAGAATTCAGAAATAGGAAGGATATAAAATTATCATTAAAGTAATATTCTTTAGGCCTCAGATCTTAAAATAAAGAACACTTCCATTTCAATAATAAAATGCAAATAAATCAATTTAGAAATAGTCAAAAGATCTGAATATACATCTCTCCAAAGAAGAGGTACACAGAGCTAGTAAATGCATGAAAAGATGTTCCACATCAGTAGTCATTAGCAAAATGCAAATCAAAACCACAATGAAATACCACTTCACACCCACTTACGAAGCTAGAATAAAAAAGACAACAGTAACTGTTGGCAAGGACATGGAGAAATTAGATCCCTCAAATATTACCATGTGAAATGGTGCAATTGCTTTGTAAAATAGTTTGGGAGTTCCTCAAAATGTTAAATCTCAAGTTACCATATGACTCAGCAGTTCTACTCCGAGGTTTTTACTTAAGGAATAAGAAACACAAATATATGTTTGCACGTACTTGCACAGGAATGTGCATAGCAGCATGATTCATGCAGCCAAAATGTGGAAACAACTCGAATGTCTATCTGCTGATGAATGGATAAACGAAATGTGATGTGTCTATCCAAACAATGAGATGTTATTCAACTGGAAAAAGAAACGAAGTGCCGATACATGCTACGGCATGGGTTAAGTGCAAAAACATTATGCCAAGTGAAAGGAGACAGCCAGCAAAGATCACATACCGTAGGTTCCAGAACGGGCAGATCTATAGAGACAGGAAGCGGATTCGTGCTTGCCTAGGGCTGGTAGAGTGGGGAGATACCGGTGATAAGCGGTGACTGCTTACTGGTGGGGTTTCTTTTGGGGGTGATGACAATGTTCTGGAATTAGATGGCAGGGATGGTTGCACAACTTTGTGAGTATACTAAAAACCACTGAATTGTACACTCTAAACAGATAAACTTGGCGGCATATGAATGATAGCTCAATCAAGTGATTAAGAAAGTGGCCGGGCGCGGTGGCTCATGCCTGTAATCCTAGCACTTTGGGAGGTCCAGGTGGGTGGATCACTTGAGGTTAGGAGTTCAAAACCAGCCTGGCCAACATGGTGAAACCAAATACAAAAATTAGCCGGGCGTGTTGGTGCATGCCTGTAGTCCCAGCTACTCAGGAGACTGAGGCACAAGAATCACTTGAACCCAGGAGGCAGTTTGCAGTGAGCTGAGATAGTGCCACAGCACTGCAGCCTGGGCAGCAGAGCAAGACTTCGTCTCAAAAAAAAAAAAAAAAAAATAGCATTCATGTTACAAACAATAACCAGTTAAAAGATGAGATAAAAGTATAAATTCCATTTACAGTAACAACAAAAATACTTGGAATAAGTTTACAGACAAATGTACAGAATGTGTATAAGAAAACAAACTCTTTAGAGAAATACATAGATTTTGATTATGCACTTTCCTAGTTTTCTCTACTACTTTTGTATATGTGCCTATAAATATATGAAGCCTCCATTTTGACTGGAAACAAAGCCTAGAGGATGTATACTTTTTTAAGATACGAAAAATGAAATGAAACCCCGTAACATTCCTGACAGTCTTACTTTTTACTATTTTCATTTTTTAAATTTTTGTATTAAATAGAGACAGGGTCTTGCTATGATGCCCAGGTTGGTCTTAAACTCCTGGCCTCAAGTGATCCTCCTGCCTTGGCCTCCCAAAGTGCTGGGATTACAGGCATGAGCCACCATGCCCAAACCTTTTTTACTATTTTCTAATGAATCTGTTTTTATTTAAAAAATCATTATTCTAAGTATAATTGAACACAATAATTTCTAACTCTTTCTCAACAGTAGAAACCACAATGTTACAATTTACATTTCTAGTATCTTACTGTCATGCTTTTGGTTTGCTTGGGAAAACTAACTGGGGTCATTTTCTTTTCCAAGCAGAGGAAGAAATTCTATTAATACTTCGGGATCTGAAGTTATCTTTAAAATATTTGTAAAAAATCTTTTCTTGGCAGAGACTGAGCTGTCAACATGTGAATGTCTTTTTTTTGCAGTCTCACTGTTAGAAACCAGGAAGATCAGAGGCCCACAATAGCTTCCCACGAACTCAGAGCAGACCTTCCAACCTGGGAAGAAAGGTGAAATCGCACGTTTTTTTACCTCACTAAACTAACAGAAATACTAACCTTTCTTTTCTTTGCCTTGTATGCTTCAACAGAAACGCACACTTTCTCTACTTGCAATTTAGTAACATCCAATCATTATGTGGCCTCACATTCCTCCCCTGCAGAATTCCATTTAATTCATCGTGTGACAGGGAGAGAAATCAGTTCTATTATTAGTCTAATCCCTTTGCTAATTGCAAATACAAATAGATGCTTTCTAACAAAACATATTATTTTATTTTTATATAATATACTTTTAAAAATAAAAGTATGTTATATAATAAACGGTGGCCGGGCACGGTGGCTCACACCTGTAATCCCAGCACTTTGGAAGGTCGAAGTGTGTGGATCACCCGAGGTCAGGAGTTTGAGACCAGCCTGGCCAACATGGTGAAACCCCTTTTCATTAAAATATAAAAATTAGCGGGGCGTGGTAGCACACGCCTGTAATCCCAGCTGTTCAGAAGGCTGAGGCAGGAAGAATTGCTTGAACCCCGGAGACGGAGGTTGCAGTGAGCCAAGACTGCACCACTGCACCCCAGCCTAGGAGACAGAGCAAGACTCCATCTCAATAAATGAATAAATAAATAAATAAATAAATAAATAAATAAAATGAAAGGGAGAGGGAGAAAGAAAAAGCTATAGATGCTTGCCAAAAATTAAATGGTATATAAGTAAAGAAAGTGATCTAACCTCTAAGAGAGTAAACACTGTTAACACATTTCTTTTTTTTTTTTTTTTTTGGAGATGGAGTCTAGCTCTGTCGCCCAGGCTGGAGTGCAGTGGTGTGATCTTGACTCACTGCAACCTCTGCCTCCCGGGTTCAAGTGATTCTCATGCCTCAGCCTCCCAAGCAGCTGGGATTACAGGTACCCACCACCACACCTGGCTAATTTTTGTATTTTTAGTAGAGATGGGGTTTCACCACGTTGGCCAGGCTGGTCTTGAACTCCTGACCTCAGGTGATCTGCCCGCCTTGGCCTCCCAAAGTGCTAGGATTACAAGCGTGAGCCACTGTGCCCAGCCTGTTAACACATTTCTTAAAAAAAAATGACCTGGAAGATTTGAAAACAAACAAAATAGAAGTTTTAAAAATGAAATATTATTGTTCAAATTGTTTTAAAATTGATGATTGAAATAAAAGATTAGATACAGCTAAATAAATAGTGAACCTGAAGGTATCCAAAAAGACCCATATAACAAGGAGATTGAAATACAGTTTGAGTATCCCTTATCCAAAATGCTTGGAACTAGAAATGTTTCAGATTTCAGATTTTTTCAGATTTCAGAATATTTGCATTATACTTACCAGTGGCTCACACCTGTAATCCCAGCACTTTGGGAAGCCAAGGTGGGTGGATCACCCGAGGTCAGGAGTTCCAGACCAGCCTGGCCAACATGGTGAAATCCCATCTCTACTAAAAATACAAAAAAGTAGCCGGGTGTGATAGTGAGCACCTGTAATCCCAGCTCCTTGGGAGGCTGAGGCAGGAGAATCGCTTGAACCTGGGAGGCGGAGGTTGCAGTGAGTCGAGATCATGCCATTGCACTCCAGCCTGGGCTACAGAGAGAGACTCTGTCTTAAAAAAATAAAATAAATAAATAAATAAAAACTAAAGACTACATTTTTCAGGGTTACATACATACATTTAAAACTATGGAAACAAAATAAAAGAGATATTAAGGATCGTTATTAAGCTATGTTTTCTGATCTCGATACAATTATGACAGAAGTAAGAATTAACTCAAAGGGGTAACCCCAAAGTCAAGTATAGCAGTTCCCTAGGGGACGAAGCTGGGAGACAGTAGCAAGTAGAAGTAGCACCAAAATAAATGCAACATTGTCAGTGCTGTTCTGGTTCTTAAGGAAAATAGCCCATTCATAAGTGTTCATTTACACTGGAGACGCGGAAAGGTGGATGGGAGGGTGGGAGGTAGGTAAGGGATGAGAAATTACCTGATGATTACAATGCACACTATCCCATTGATGGCTACGCTAAAAACACAGGCTTCACCACTGTGCAATGTATCCATGTAACAATGTATCCATGCACTTGCACCCCCAATTATATTTTTTAAATGTTTGTAATTTTTTTAAAAAAGTGAGTCAGATGCAGTGGCTCACACCTGTAATCCCAGCACTCTGGGAGGCCAAGGTGGGTGGATCGCTTAAGCCTAAGAGTTTGAGACCAGCCTAGGCAACATAGTAAGACCTGACTCCACAAAGAATACAAAAAATTAGCTGGGCATGGTGGCACCTGCCTGTAGTCCCTGCTACTTGGGAGGCCAAGGAGAGAGAATCATATGAGCATAGTAAGCCGAGGCTGCAGTAAGCTGTGATCACCCCACTGCACTCCAGCCTTGGCAACAAAGCGAGACTCTCAAAAAAAAAAAAAAAAAAAAGTGTTCATTTTGTTGTCACCTTTGGACAGTACAGCGGTGGCATTTATAACTTGCATTTATATTACATATATTCTCTTTCTCAAATATTACATAATTTTAAAATACATTAAGCACACACTTGCTCTGTTGTTCTAGAGGTTTAATGTTGTCAAACCTGACTTAGTTCTGTTGTAGTACAGAACTCATCACAGGTGATTAGGAAGTTTTGGGTCAGATGGTTGTAGGATTTTTCTTTACATTTATAGTTTTTAAAATATTGCAAGATGTGCCCAGTTGTAAACAAGCATGTTCTTAGCAGTTATTATAGCAACTTGGTTTGCAAGCCTTTTGGTATGCAATCCAGCAAACAATGTGAAAGTATCATATTCATGTGTTTTTCCCAAAGGCTTGAAGAAAGGAGAACAGCTCTTCTCCTTCCTAAAAGGGCCTAAATACATATATTTCTCATTCTTGGAGGAGGAAAAGATACATTTCTAATGATGAAATTCCAATTAACTACCACTAACAGTTCCCCTATGCCCCTTCTCTTTTGGTCTCCACGAAGCCCTGCTCCTACTCTGGAAGAAGTCAATGCCTGGGCTCAGTCATTCGACAAATTAATGGTCACTCCAGCAGGAAGGAATGCATTCCGTGAATTCCTCCGAACAGAATTCAGTGAAGAAAATATGCTCTTCTGGATGGCCTGTGAGGAACTGAAAAAGGAAGCTAATAAAAACATTATTGAAGAGAAAGCAAGGATAATCTATGAAGACTACATTTCTATACTTTCTCCTAAGGAGGTATGTGACCACGAAATGCCTTCTCCCAAGGCTGATGGTAAAAGTATTAACTTGGTGCAAAAGCACCTGCCACAGGCCGGGCACGTTGGGTCACGCCTGTAATCCCAGCACTTTGGGAGGCTGAGGCGGGCAGATCACCTGAGGTCAGGAGTTGGAGACCAGCCTGACCAACATGGTGAAACCCCGTCTCTACCAAAAATACAAAAATTAGCCTGGTGTGGTCACGGGTGCCTGTAATCCCAGCTGCTTGGGAGGCTGAGGCAGGAGAATCACTTGAACCTAGGAGGCAGAGGTTGCAGTGAGCTGAGATTGCGCCACTGCACTCCAGCCTGGGTGACAAGAGGGAAACTCCATCTCAAAAAACTAAACAAAAGTAATCATCTTTTTTTTCTTTTTTTCTTTTTTGAGACAGAGTCTCACTCTGTCGCCCAGGCTGGAGTGCAATGCTACGACCTTGGCTTAGTGCAACCTCTGCCTCCCGGGTTCAAGTGATTCTTCTGCCTCAGCCTCCAGAGTAGTTGGATTATAGGTACGCACCACCACGCCTGGCTAATTTTTGTATTTTTAGTAGAGACAGGGTTTCACCATGTTGGCCAGAATGGTCTTGATCTCTTGACCTCATGATCCACCCACCTTGGCCTCCCAAAGTGCTGGGATTACAGGCATAAGCCACTGTGCCTGGCCTCGCCATTACTTTTAACTTTTTCCAGAAAAATGCACAAAAGTTTTCACAGATTTCAGAGGACACTTGGAGCCCTTCTGCAGGTCCACAGTCAAAGGGATCTGCATACCGTGAATGCGGGTGCAGCTGTTTTCTACATTTTGCAGTTGCTGTTCTGGGTCAAGCTGAACATGACCAAACAGCTGCACCCTCATTCACAGCATTCAGATCCCTTTGACTGTGGACCTGCAGAGGGGCTGCAAGTGTCCTCTGAAATCTGTGAAAACTTTTGTGCATTTTTCTGGAAAAAGTATCCCCTGGAGTCTGCATTTGATGGTGAACACTGTTTACAAACATTACACCCTAAGAAGTTCCTTTAAATAAAATTATCTTGTTATTCTGAGAAAAATATTGTCTTTAGGTATCTTGATGTTACAGGGCAGCAGCATCACAGATGTGATACTGATGCGGAAAAGGTTTTCCCCAGGCTGGCCTTTTCACATTCAAGAAATTATCAGTTGAATGAGATTGGGCAAGTTTCCACCTGTCAGAGTTTCAGTTACTTCAGATCTAAAATGTAGGAGGTCAGGCCTGGCACAGTGGCTCACTTCTGTAATCCCAGCACTTTGGGAGGCCGAAGCAGATGGATCACCTGAGGTCAGGAGTTCGAGACCAGCCTGGCCAAACACGGTGAAACCCCTTCTCTACTAAAAATACAAAAACTTAGCCGGGTGTGGTGGCGTTCACCTGTAATCCCAGCTACTCAGGAGGCTGAGGCAGGAGAATCGCTTCAACCTGGGAGGCGGAGGTTGCAGTGAGTAGAGATTGCGTCATTGCACTCCAGCCTGGGCAACAAGAGCAAAACTCCACCTCAAAAAAATAGTAATAATAAAATTTAGGAGGTCAGATTGTTCTCACAATTGGGTGCCCTGCAGCTCTAATTATAAAACTATTGGTTATTTCCTACTATGTGCTGACAGGAATGTCAGGTTGAAGAAGCAGGGCCTCTCCTGTCATGGCGCTCCTGGAGATGTGGGCAGACAGACCAGGACCCCTGGCCACACGCTCAGCACTCACTGGGGCTCGGGGGTGAGCCATCCACAAACGGGTGGGTGAGAATGAGAAAAATACTCAAGGAGGCTACAGATGGACCAAGGATAGTGAAAAGGAAATTTCCACAAACACAGCAGGATGGCGACATCCCAGGAGACAGGCCCAGGCGAGCCCAGGAGAAGAGCATGAAGTTGTGCGATCACTGCAAGTGTACATAGATTGTTGTGCCGGAAGGGGAGGGTGCTTACCAAACTATTAGGGCTGGGGGCAGGCAGCGGGAGGAGACTTAAGAGATAAGGGGTCAGAGAGCATGGAGAGGTTTTGGCATCATGCCAAAGTGTCCGGATTTTTATCTTGGGAAGCCCTTGGATTTTAGCCCATTTGTATCATCAAATTTTGATTTTTGAAAGACCAATAGGGCTGCAGAATGGATTTGGAGAAGATGAGGGGCAGAAGACTTTAGAAAACTAATTCAGGAGCCCAAAGGGACGTGGCAAGGGGCTAGCTAGGCCAGCCAAAGACGCTAGAGAGGAAGGGTTGGATTTGAGGCAAACCCACCGTCTCAAATGACTCCCATATGCCTGGTGTAGGCAGACCAGGTGGTGGGGTCGTTGGCTTACTTGATTTTGCGTCGTTACATTTTGCTTTCTTAAGTTCATGTTGTTAAATTGGTAATATTCAGTTGACATGTTTGAATACTGAGTCCAGAAAGTTATTTTCATTTTGGGCTAATAAAGAGCAAGATAATTTTTGTTCTTTAATTTATGGCTTCCACATATTTTTATTTTGTCATGATTTTTTTTCAAGGCAAAGTTTTTCATCAGTCTTTTAAAGTATTATACAACCAAAACACAGGTCGGGCACGGTGGCTCACGCCTGTAATCCCAGCACTATGGGAGGCCGAGGCAGGTAGATCACCTTGTCTAGGAAGAGCCAAACATCAGAGCAATCAACATCTACAGGCTTAGTGAAATCCAAGCACTTCATCATTAAATCACCAAAAACATAAGACACTACCATCATCATCATACCCACTTCAGGGGAGGAGCTCACTAGAACAGTTTACCTTGCCTGAGGCCCCACAACAATGCAGTGACAGGGTTGGTTTTGTCTGTTTGTTTTGAGATGGAGTCTTGCTCTGTTGCCCAGGCTGGAGTGCAGTGGCGCGGTCTCAGCTCACTGCAACCTCCGCCTCCCAGGTTCAAGCGATTCTCCTGCCTCAGCCTCCTGAGTAGCTGGGATTACGGGCGCCTGCCACCATGCCCAGCTAATATTTTTTATTTTTCGTAGAGAGAAGGGGTTTTGCCATGTTGGCAAGGCTGGTTTCGAACTCCACAGCGCTGGGATTACAGGTGTGAGCCACCATACCTGGCCAGGGCTGGAATTTAAACACAGGCATCGTCTGCCCTCAGGCCCTGTGATTGGAACCTTCCAGGGTTTTGAGTCAACTTCCTACTTCACCCCTGTGCCCAACCCTCTGGGCAGGCCAGCACTCATCCCCAGAGCCCTGCCACTGTGGGCCAGCAGGGGAAGCCTGGGCCTCCACGCATCAGCCCCCATGTTACAAGGAAATGAGCAAGGGGCAGTCTGTGCTGCCTGTTTTCTTCAAAGCAGCAGTGTGAGCCCCGCCAGCATCACTTAGAACTTGTGGGAAGTGACAAGCGATCAGGGGCCCCTGCACCTACTGAGTCTGGGGTGGGGCCCAGCAACCGCTCTCACAAGCCCTCTGGAGCCTGCTGATGCCACCGACATTTGAGAACCGCGTTGATTATGCTTTTGGTTTCTCTTTTGGCAGTTTGGATTTTTTGGATTATCTCGTTTGGTTTGGGATATTTAAAACACAACAAGGCTGGGCGCAGTGGCTCATACCTGTAATCCCAGCACTTAGGGAGGCCGAGGCGGGCAGATCACCTGAGGTCAAGAGTTCGAGACCAGCCAACACAGAGAAACCCCATGGTTAGCCAGGTGAGGTGGTGGGTGCCTGTAATCCCAGCTACTCGGGAGGCTGAGGTAGGAGAATTGCTTGAACCTGGGAGGCGGAGGCTGCAGTGAGCTGAGATTGCGCCGCTGCACTCCAGCCTGGGCGACAGAGTAAGACTGTCTCAAAACAAAACAAACCACACACACACACACAAAAAAACAACAAAAACAACAACAACAAAAAAAACCCACAAGCTGTAGGAGTTTGGGATAGAGATACAACTAAAGTCTCTAATACAGCTCCTGCTCGTTTCTGTCGACAGGTGAGCTTAGACTCCCGGGTGAGAGAAGTCATCAACAGAAACATGGTGGAGCCATCCCAACACATATTCGATGATGCTCAACTTCAGATTTACACCCTGATGCACAGAGACTCATATCCTCGATTCATGAACTCTGCTGTCTATAAGGACTTGCTTCAGTCCTTATCGGAGAAATCCATTGAAGCATAGGATTTTTCAAATATATTTATTATTAATAAAATAATAAAAGAACTCATGGGCTTCATCTAGCACAGGGAATTTAGAGGTTGTAGCATCTTCTGCTGGGGTAATACTCAGGCTCTTCTAATAAAAGATGATTCCTTCAAGAGACTGCTATATATTCACAATGTAAATTGCAGCCACCTTTAGTGATACTTTTGGGGAAAAAAAAAGGGATATGGCTGTTGTAGAAAGATAGCGTATTTGCATTTACAGTAACAGTAGCATGTTGTCAGTGGCGAAGGCTACACAGAAGGCTCCTTGCTGCCCGGAGCAGGTACATCCGCCAGAGCAAAGGGAACCACTTTTGTTTTGCATGAATTTGGTAATTGATTACTCTCTCCCCAAAGAAAAGACATTCAGGTGTTTCTCAACGACCTCTTCCATCCATCAAGCTCGGTATGAATACTTCACTTACCAGTGCCATTACAGGACCCAAATTCACAGTTCATAAAGATGTGACCACTACATGTAAAAATAGCATTCCACTTGATCTTACAGTAGGTATGTATGTATGGAGATACATATGTGTGTGTGGATCTCTACATGGTTAATGTAAAGCACTGTGCTCTGAAGTGGATCAGTCTCAAGTGTCTGGTAACAGAAGCAGTGCTTAGAAAATTCTTTTGTTGAAAACAGTTACTGTTATTTTATTATCAGAATTTGCCAACCTAAAGAATGAATTTTAAAATTCATAACTTGGTCATGTTCACAACAAAACTGTCAAATAAGCATATTTCCATTTTTATTACTGAAAGAAACATGGGCATTTTCATTCTTTAAAGAAATAAAGCACAAGAATTTTACCTCAATCTTTATTTTTCCATATGTACATATTTGGGAAACAGAAGATTAAGAAAGTAGGGATATGTGCAGCGTATCTTTTAGCTCCCAGACTACGATTCTGTCCTTAGAGCCCACTGTTTTCATCATAGGTAAAAAGAATAACTTCTCACAGGTAAAAAGAACTTCATAACTTACAGGTAAAAATTCCGGTTGGTAGACCTAGACCGTTCTGAAGAAACCCATCTCTACATGGAACAGGAAACACACTCAAAATCCAGGACGCTCTGAGGAGTGGGAAAGACGCTACTTTGCAGGAGGCGGCACCGTGCTCCCGCCCTCGAGGGGGATGGCTTTCCTCTGGGTCCTTCTCCCTCCCTGGCCTCTCCATAGCCTGCCTGTATCTTCATGACTCCACTCAGTCCCCAAATCCAAGCCCCTCTCCTTCATTCTCAGGAAACCATTTTACCTCCTACTCTACTATGCAAATTGTGTCCCTAAGCCCCTCAACTTCCCATGCAACCTATAAACACATACAGATCAGTGTCTATTCTCATCTCCCTCAGTCCAGTCCCAGAGAACCATGTGCTCTCTCCTTTTCAAGGTGTCAATCCCTTACATGTGCTTCTAAGTTTTCCAATCTCATTTCTTACTAAAGAAAAAGGGGCCGGGCGCGGTGGCTCAAGCCTGTAATCCCAGCACTTTGGGAGGCCGAGATGGGTGGATCACGAGGTCAGGAGATCGAGACCATCCTGGCTAACACAGTGAAACCCCGTCTCTACTAAAAAATACAAAAAAACTAGCCGGGCGAGGTGGCGGGCGCCTGTAGTCCCAGCTACTCGGGAGGCTGAGGCAGGAGAATGGCCTGAACCCGGGTGGCGGAGCTTGCAGTGAGCTGAGATCCGGCCACTGCACTCCAGCAAGGGGGACAGAGTGAGACTCCGTCTCAAAAAAAAAAAAAAAAAAAAAAAGAAAAAGGATGTAATTGTGAATAAGACATAAGCCCTGCCCTCTAGTAGTTTACATTCAGTAAAAGCAAACAGACATGTCAGCAGCAACTCTGATATAGTAAGAACCACAGCTAGCGCTGCAGGAGTCATGAAGGGTTACAGAAAGATTCTGGTGGAGATGGCACCAAAGTCAAAATCCAGAGAACAAGAAGAATGTGGATGTGTTGGAGGCAGGGAGGGAACTGGATGCGACGGTATTCACAACTGAGCGACCCCAAAGGAATCGACGTGCTGAGAACGAGGGAAGACACACATAAAAGGACATGTTGGAATCAGTTGGATGGAGGAATCTGGGTGGGTGAGTCTAGGCTGGCGTATTGATTTTGGGGTTTTTCAGCACATAGGCGAGTAAGATTGCCTGGAGAATTATGCATGAAAAGATAGCTGAGGGTAAATCATTGCAAGGATAGACAGAACCGAGAGCCCCAAAGGAGATTCAGGATTAGTCTCGTCAATACAGGTAAGAAGCAAGTCAGGGAATATGGAAACATGGCAGCAAATGCATGAGAGTGTCTTGAGGGGCAGTGGTGAACAGTGGTAAATGAAGACTCTTACATAGAGCTTTGTTCCAGCAATTTCTCCCCACCCTCCTGTATCACTGAGTTCACCTTGGCTTTTTCCCACACCGTAAGCACGCTTGATTTCCCGTTAAAAACAAACCTGTGTTCCACTGTAACGGCTGCCTCTTGTCGCCCCCTTTCTCATCAGACCTTTCACAATAGCCCACACTTGCTGTCTCCATTTCCTCATCTCCCCATTCTCACCTTGAGCTGCTCCAGTGCCCTCAACTGCCCAAGGAGGCCTCTCCCCGCCAAGTCTACAGCGCAGTTTTCCCAGCCTGCTCAGTGGGCTGCTCAGCTCCTGAGATCATGGATGACTCCTTCCTTGAAACAGTACTTCCCTCAGCTTCTGAGGTGCTCTCCCAGTTCTCCATATTCTCTCTCTTCTTCGTTTCCTTCCCAGGCAGAAGAGCACAGCAGCTAAGGGCTTGGGTTCTGGAATCAGATTCTCAGACTCCCCTACTGACCATGTGGCAGTGGGAACTCAGGCTTTCTGGGTCTGCTTCCTCATCAGTGAAATTGAGGATAATAATGGTGCTAATTTCTGGTGTTGCTGAGGATTAAAGCCACTCCATGTACAATACAATGAGCACTTGCTACACATTAGTCACTGCTGTTATTACCGGGCCATTAAATGTGGTGGCCCCTAAGGCGTGGACTTGGGTTTCCTTTTCTTGCCAATCTGTATGTTCTCCCTTGGTCCTCATATTCCCTTGTTTAAAATACCTACCAACCTACTGACGGCTACCAAACTGGGATCCAGTCAAGACTTTCTCCTGGACTTGAGAATCAGCCCCCAGCTGGCCATCTCCACTGGTGTATCCCACAGAGGGTGAAACACACCAGCGCTTGGTTGTGACTCATGACCCCACTGCCTCCACACCCCAAGCCTGGCCCTGCCTGCAGCCCAGTGACCCAGCCAGTCACCTAAGTTCTTATCCAGTGGTAACTGTGACTCTTCCCTCCTTTTCTCTTCCCACACATAATCACCCAGCCTTGCCAATTTTACCTCCTATTTCTTACCTGTCTCTTTCTTTCTTCTGACCCCCATCATCTCTTATCTGCATCATTGCCAAAAGAGCTTCCCGGTCTCCTGCTTCTAGTCTCAGTCCATTCAAATCCATCTTTCAAATGCCTACAGGGTGGTCATTCTCACATAAATTTCTGTTTGTCACCATGCTTCCACTCCTTAACATCTTTCAGTAGTTCCTGATTGCCTGGAGTCAAATACCGAGTTCTTGGCCCAGCATAATAAGCAAGGCTCTCTGCAGTCAGGCTACTGCCTCCCTAGCTAGCCTCATTTCTGTTTTAGACTCTACAACATAGAAGTGTAGAAAAGGTGCATATGCCACTCAGACCTTCATGACTGTTCCTGAAAACTTGGTTTCTGCTGTCCCTTACATGCTCCCTCTAAAGTTCCACTCTACCCAGCGAACTCCTATCATTTCTGTAAGATTTACCTCCTCCAAGAAACCTGACCTCCTAAGTCATACCTACATCCTGTGTTTGGGGGCCGTTTTTCAATGTTGCAGGAATATTCTGCACAATATTTATCATCTAAGTAATTATAAGTTGAGATTCTCATCTCAAAAAAAAAGCGATATATATATATGGGTGTGTGTGTGTGTGTGTGTGTGTGTATACAATGAAATATTAGCCATAAAAATAAGGAAATCCTGCCATATGTGACAGAATGGATGAATCAGGATAATGGACAAATCTTGAGGACATTGTGCTAAGTGAAAGAAAGACAAATACTGCATAAAATAGTTAAACTCATAGAAGCAGAGAGTAGAATGGTGGTTGCCAGGGGCTGGCGAGGGGGGAAGTAGGGAGCTGCTGTTCAATGGGTATAAAGTTTCAGTTATGTAAGGTAAGTGCTAGAGATCTGCTGTACAACATCGTGCTTATAAATATAAAAATTTGTTAAGTGGGTAGATCTCATGTTACCTGTTCTTAATAAAAAAATTGAAAAAGATGGACAGATCAGCAAAATATTAAGATAAGTCAGCCTGATATTAACCCATAACCTTAACACTCCCCCAGATCTCTTTTGCTTCTGCAGGTTAACTGGAAATCTTAGCAGTATTCTCATAGCTTTTGATGTTTTGTATCAGCTCTTTTATTTAACTCAAATATTCACCCAAAATAATTTAAGATTTTTTTTCACTTGCTTGTGACAGCAACCTGTTTCAAACTAGCTTAAACACAAAGGAAAATGTTTTCCCTTCATAAACAGGAAGTCTACAGTAGTTCTAGCTTCCACATGGCTGGATCCAGACCTCTGATATTATCAGGACTCTCTCCATCTCTCAGCTCCCCTCAGCTTCATCATACACAAAGGATCTCTGCGTGTAGTAGGCAAAAAGCTGCAGGGAGCCCCAAACGCAGCTCAAGCTGACTTAGCTGTCACTGTTCATACGGGAATCTCAAGGACGGTCATGGGGTAGGGGGGACACTGTGAATAAGACCCGCCGGAGTCATGTAGAGAGGAGAAGGGGCGAAATTGCCCCTAAATAAATTAGGAAAGTATTTGGGAACTAATGCTGAGTTCATTAATGAGTTCAGTAATGCTGAGACAGAAGCTATAGCTATCACAGTCCAAACTCCAGTGCTCTCAGTTTGTGCTTTTTTAATATCTGCTATACTTTCACATTGGCATTATCACACAAATAACGTTTATTTCAAAGTAGTTCAGTCATCCAAGTATAAAAACACTTGGACCAATTTAACCAGACTGTATGGGATAGCACATACGAAATGTGTCTCTTTGAAATCATGGCCATTAAGGGGAAAAATAAAAATAAGCTATCTTTATATAGCATCCAGGGAGAGGAATCAGAACAAGGTAAGTCACCTGAGATAGCTCCTTGTGCTTTCAATTTCCATCCTCCAGCTAGATAAACAAGTACAAGAGTACAGGACAAACAAGTACAAGAGTACACTGAAACTGTTGCATCACTTTGCAGAAATAAAGCACCAAAAGGGATCTCCCAATACTCTTAACTCCTTACATTCCTTATTTTAAAGTTGGAGTCTAGGCCGGGCGTGGTGGCTCAGGCCTGTAATCCCAGCACTTGGGTAGGCTGAGGCGGGTGGATCACCTGAGGTTGGGAGTTCGAGACCAGCCTGTCCAACATGGAGAAACCCCGTCTCTACTAAAAATACAAAATTAGCTGGGCGTGGAGGCACATGCCTGTAATCCCAACTACTCGGGAGGCTGAGGCAGGAGAACTACTTGAACCTGGGAGGTAGAGGTTGTAGTGAGCCGAGATCACGCCACTGCACTCCAGCCTGGGCAACAAGAGCAAAACTCCATCTCAAAAAAATAAAAAAATAAAAATAAAGTTGGAATCTAAAACATGACCAACCAGTAGTTATCCACTCTACCTCTGCAGGTCCCCAACCCATTTTTTTTTCTTTATATCTTAGCTCTTGAACAGTCAAGAACATCATGTA